CACACACACACACACACACTTTGGTAATTTTAGGTGAACCTTTTCACAGCATCTTTAAACTGAACTTGGTTTCTTAGCAGTTCTGTATGTTGTGTGAAGAGTGTGCAGGCGTGTTTCACAAAGGAGGCGCGAGGCTGATCCTCTGCGGGAAGAACTGGGAGAAACTCGAAGAACTCGCTGATGATTTGGCAAATTCTTCGGATCCAACAGTGGTAAGTCTAAAAGCACTGAAATTAGAGATGATAACAGCTCGTAGACCGAAGGACCGTTGACAAAGTACTCAGTGAAGTACACTATATTGCCAAAAGTATTCACTCACCCATCCAAATCATTGAATTCAGGTGTTCCAATCACATTCATGACCACAGGTGCAAAAAACCTAGGCATGTAGAGTGATCCCAACTTTGTGCAAACAGTTTGGGGATGGCCCCTTCCAGTTCCAACATGGCTGGGCACCTGTCCACAAGTCTGTGCTGAAGACTTGTGAAATGAATGAGTAAGTTTGGTGTGGGAGAACTTGACTGGCACAGTCCTGACCTCAACCTGACAGAACACCTGTGAGATGAATTACAGTGTAGCCTGTGACGCAAGCCTTCTCGTCTGACATCAGTGTCTGACTTCACAAATGGGCCTCTTGAAGAATGGTCAAAAATTCCCAGAAACAATTCTAAACCTTGTGGAACGCCGTCCCAGAAGAGTCGAAGCTGTTATGGTTGCAAAGACTGGCCCAACATCTCAGTAAACTCTGTGGATTAACAATGGGATGTCAGACGAGAAAAATCCTTTGGGCAATATATTGAATCAGTACACTGTAAAAGATGTAATCACTGATAATGTGCAGTAAAGCTTCCTTTTCACTGGCATTTATTACCAGGCTGCATTTTTTGCTGGTGGAGCTGCTCTTAGGGTCTTTGGTGGATTGTAAATGTCAAAGTAATTTAAAAAATGAAGAAGTGAAAACTTACATTTTCTTCCCTTTTAAGATGATGAAACATTTTTGAATTAACTTGAACCACCTTTTCAGAATTACTAGGCTCCACATAAAAAGAGTAATTTCAGAGTTTTTGCTGTTCAGTATAATCAGAGTTTGCAGTGTGAAATAATGACTTAAATGTTTGAATGCAACAAAGCCAGAGAGCTTCTGAGTATGAGACACCCGTTTTTCATGTTATCACCTTATGTGAAAATCACCTTAATCGGATCCTAATTAAGGGTTTGACTGAAAAGATCAAAGTGAAGCGACAGATGTGCATGAAGACTTGATGTTTCATGAGCTTCAAGCTCTTTTATCAAAGCTTCATAGATAATATGAACCCTCAACGGTCCTAGAACCTGTATCTTGTATCTTGTATCCTGCATCACCCCCCTCCTCCAATCCCTCTCTCAGCAGCAAGACATCTCCCCCCCTCCCCTCCT